TACTAGTGCGTCATTTTATCTTTTCGAAAGCGCCGAGCAGCAGTTCTTCATGAGCTACTAGTGCGTTATTTATTTATTTTCTGAAACGCCAGCAGTTCTTCATGAGCTACTAGTGCGTCAGTTATGACTTTGTGAAAGCGCCGAGCAGCAGTTCTTCATGAGCTACTAGTGCGTCAGTTATGACTTTGTGAAAACGCCAGCAGTTCTTCATGAGCTACTAGTGCGTCTCTTATCCTTTTTGGAAAACGCCGAGCAGCAGTTCTTCATGAGCTACTAGTGCGTCATTTTGTCTTTTTCGAAAGCGCCGAGCAGCAGTTCTTCATGAGCTACTAGTGCGTCATTTTATCTTTTCGAAAGCGCCGAGCAGCAGTTCTTCATGAGCTACTAGTGCGTTATTTATTTATTTTCTGAAACGCCAGCAGTTCTTCATGAGCTACTAGTGCGTCAGTTATGACTTTGTGAAAGCGCCGAGCAGCAGTTCTTCATGAGCTACTAGTGCGTCAGTTATGACTTTGTGAAAACGCCAGCAGTTCTTCATGAGCTACTAGTGCGTCTCTTATCCTTTTTGGAAAACGCCGAGCAGCAGTTCTTCATGAGCTACTAGTGCGTCATTTTGTCTTTTTCGAAAGCGCCGAGCAGCAGTTCTTCACGAGCTACTAGTGCGTCATTTATTTTTCTGACAGCGACAAGCAGCAAACTCTTCATGAGTTACCAGTACGTTATTACTTTTCTGGACGACAGCAAGCGACAGCTTCTTTATTTGAGCAGCTTGTATGTTATTGGTATTTTCTTTGGACGACAGCAAGTGGTAGCCTCTTTATTTGAGCAGCTTGTATGTTATTGGTATTTTCTTCGGAAAACAACAAGTGGCAGCTTCTTTATTTGAGCAGCTTGTATGTTATCGGTATTTTCTTTGGAAAACAGCAAGTGGCAGCTTCTTTATTTGAGCAACTTGTATGTTATCGGTATTTTCTGTGGACGACAACAACTGACATTTTTCTTTATTTGAACAACCTTCGTATCTACCATCTCATTACCTCAACATTAATGAGTATACCTCCGAAACCTCGCAGAGAAGTCTGGTACGAATCTGTACCTCCAGAAGTCGGTAATCAGTTATCCGCAATTTGATATTCTCTGTCTACCGTCGACCTTGAGTTGCGAACTCACTGTTTTGGATCAAATCTGTTATGGCCTATGCAAGATACTCTCTTCGTTAGGGATAGAGGTCGTATTCCCTCAGTTTTATTCGCTGTCAGGAGTCTGTCGTTTGAAGTCGATAGCTCGTTTTCCCCAGTAGCGTATAATTCATGTCTCTGTGTTTTGTTGGTGTTCGATTCCTCCAACATTGTCTTGTTTCATACAATATCTTTCTCGGTGAATTCATGCACTACATTCAACACTGCATGATGACGGCATCATAGGACAAAATTTGCGTAGTTATGTATTTAAGTACCTTCAATCTCGTCGAAACGAAGATTTCAAATCTTCATATCTCCGGATAGAAGGAACTTAAATAGGGGCAGCTGTTGTACCCCAAATTTTGACCTAAGATACCGTCTTCCATCTGCATCATTCGCATTGCGAGAGTTTTGACCTATTTTTATCTAATTTTCAAAGCAGTTTAAAAATTCATAACTTTTTCGAGTCGGAAGCTGTTTATTTGTTGAACGCTAAATTTATTAACTGATCAAGACTTAAACAATGTTCATTAATTATTTATTATCTTAAATTCAAATAATTGGAATTTATTTTTCGATTATTACGTAATTTAAAGACTTATAAATAATAAAAAGAATATTTGAGAAAAGGTTTATTAATGGGTCAAATAATGTTTATTAATTATTCATTATCCTAAATTTAAATAATGGGAACCTGTTTTCCGTTATTATATAATTTGAAGGTTTATGAATAACGAAATAAACATTTAAAAAGGAGTCTATTAATTGATCAAGCAATGTTTATTTAATTATTTATTGTTCTAAATTTAAATAGCTGAAATTCTATTTTTTAAGTTATTATAATTTAGAAGAATTAAAAATAATAATAAAATAAATAATTGAAGTTATTAATTGATCAATGATGTTTATTTATTTGTTTATCATTTTAAATTTAAATGATTGAATTTGATTTTTAATCATTATATAATTTAAAGAATTATAAACAATAAATAAATAATTGGAAAGAAAAAGAATTAATTAAAATAATAGAATTTTTATTCACTTTATTCTATTTATTACAATTGTCATTTAAATGTTGTGTTATTACAAAATATTTATAAAGACAATTACATAAATGCTTAAAGTAAATAAAAAGCTATTTTTCTAAATTCTAATTCTAAATCTTCAATCCAATGCTCTTGTTCGCTCATTTAATTTTACCTGCAAAAACGATTAAAAGAAAAGTCAGAATTTAATAAATAATTAAAATGCAGAAAATAAATTCAATGTTCATCATTAAAAGCAATGGCCGGAATCAGTTACTCTTTTTTGCAAATCACGGGATTTCTCCCGGTTCACAAAAAAGAGAGGAATTTTTAAATGAATGCACAATTAAAAAATAGCACATTTCAAAATCAATTGCATTTTTATCAAAAAAAACCCACTGCATATTTCAAATATGCATAAATTTCAAAACTGCATAAACCATACAAACAGCATGTTTAGTTCACAAATAACAAGCCAACGTTAACCTGCAAAAAAACAATATGAAATTTCCAGCATGTGCAGTTTTAAAACTATGAAAGCAAGCAATGTATATTTCCTCTTTCATCATATTCCAGCCCATTACAATTTCAGAAAAATGTACAGTATATCATTTATATATATCAATTTCTGTACTTGGGAGAGAGAGAGAAGAGGTTCAATTTTGCAGGTTTTGGCCTAAGCATGAATTGGGAATAAAGTCAACCTTGTAGCAGCATATGTAAAAAGCATCAGAAAATATATTAATATACTAAAAACCTGAGCCAAAAAAGCAACGGCTATGAGAAGGGAATCCCTTCAAAAGGAAGTCCAAGCTAGCATATTTTCCACACAAGAACATCACTGCAAAAACTATCCAAAATAACCATTTCCAAGCATAACCATCACTTGCTTAAGCATTTGCAAAACAACCTGCATACTGCTATCAAATAACATATTCCATTTCCACACAGAACCATCACTGCATAGCATATCTTCACATAACCATTTCTACATATTTTCATTTCTGCATATTTCATAAACCTGCATTTTTTCATAATTCTGCATACTTCAAAACCATTTTCCTGGATATTCAAAACTATCCTGCATATTTCAAACATCCTGCATACTATACAAGCAAACCATTCAAAACCATTTTCCTGCATATTCAAAACTATCCTGCATATCAAAACCTGCATATTCAAAACCATTCAAAACCATTTTCCTGGATATTCAAAACTATCCTGCATATTACAAAACCTGCCTATTGCTAAACCATTTCTAAGCATATTGCGAAACCATTTCCAGCATATTGACCAAAACCATAAAAAACGGTATAATCCAAAACCACCAAAAAACATTTATTCAATATTTCCAATCAGTTTGTCTAGACGGAGAAGAAGAGAAGAATTAGTGGCCGAAAGCAAGGAGCGAAGAGTCTTCGGAGCTTACCTGACGTCGCCGGAATCGTAACTGTCGGACTAGCTCCGACCATGTGAGTTTTTCTTCAGTTTTTTCGCATAAAGCTTTATACCGCTGCGTTGCCTTTGTCTCACTTAATAATACTCTCTTTAATTTCCTGAAATCATGTAAAACGGCTATTTAATATTTTTGCGAATCATCAATGCATTAAATCCCTATTTTAACACAGACAATAATTTGATTGATAAAATTCAAGATTCATAATTTTGCAAAACCGGCACAATCACATAAGCACTGTTAATTTAAAACCAACGTGTAAAAAAATATAACAAATTCACAAACCTTTTTCAATTACTCATTCGGACTTCGCGGTTCATTACTATCATCTTCGTTCAATTCTTCTGCCGCTCTTAAATCCGCATCTGATACAACGATATCCTCCTTCCGATACTTTCATCACATTTCTATCGTCTTCACCACATCTTCATCGGGTTGCTCCTTTACTTCTTTCACCACTAGGACAGCATGAAGATACTCTACTTTCATCTATTTTGTCTACTGTAATTTTTGCATTTTGAGGATTCTACGCTTGTTGCTTCTTGTGCTTTTCTTTTGGAGCTATGTGGTTTATCTGCCGGCAAGATGCGCATTGACATTGTTGTGCTAAAACGGATATCTTATTTCTACAAATCACATGAAACTTACAAAATCTCAAGCAGTTATCACCACCATGGATCTGTTAATGCTGCAAGTGTTTCCGATGAAGGGCTTGTTTCTCTTTCCAAGATGATTGCAGTGCTTTGTGAACAACAGTTGTTTTCGCCTTTGCTAAGGGCGTTTGAGATGTTCCTTCCATCATCCCCCTGCTTACCGGTACCTAAAACAGAAAGACCAGGCAAAGCTGATACTTGGGCTACAAAATGAGAATCATCAATTACCTACGTATTTATAATTCTAAGACCTAACTATCGTTAATTAGCACCATAATCAGTATTGACTTGGAATTTGAAAATGAGGAATTACCGATTCCAACGAGATGGACAGCAGATAACTTTCTAGCCAATTGAGGATGACTCCTGCAATGAACAGAACCAACTTGCTTCCTCCTAATCACGCTTCAAAATCCACTAACCACGCTAGCAATCTTCATCGTTCCTCCTTCCAGCACCAATCTCCCATCCTTTAACCGCAACCACCACTATAATGCCTACACGAAGGATTTCCCAGTACAATAAGCAGAAAAGGACAATAACTCATTGAAAGATGAATATAAGCATTTGAGGGCCACTTCCTCAGACAATAGTCATTTAGAAGAGAAATGTGAAATTAAAGAAGTCCGGGAAGAATTACCTCAAAGAAGTATTTCTCTTGATGCTACTGAGAAGGAAGAACTTCTCAAGGAAATTCAGAATCTGAGAACCAAACAGCAACAACAGCAACGCACGGCGTCGCCGCCGCGGCTTCTTCATCCGATTTGAACCAAGCAACAGCGCATGCAACAACAATGGCAGCAAGAGAAAAAGCGTGTGAAGTATCGAAGACGCCGAAGAAGAGGAAAATCTGCTGTGCTTGTCCTGACACGAAGAGGATTCGGGATGAGTGCATAGTGGAGCACGGAGAAGACGCTTGTGGGAAGTGGATCGAAGCTCATCGACTTTGCCTCCGTGCCGAGGGATTCAATGTTTGAGATTCGGTATTTTGTTGGAATAATTAAAACTATAGGATAATGATAACTCAGATTTTATGTTGTTGGAAGTATAGAATAAATCAAGTAAAATTTCAAGGGATTTAGGGTTTGAGTTCTGATTTTCAGACCTAATACCCCATATTGTTGCTCCATTTGATTTAATGGTTAAATCCTCCATTCACTTCCCTCAACCCAGTTCAATCTCTTTTTAACTAAAAGCCCATTCTCTTTGCTAATTCATACCCCATCTCTTATTTGGTCTTTAATTAAATTCTATTCATTTCTTAATTTAATTAATTTAGACTAGTTAGTTTTTTTAGGAATAACATATAATTTTAAATAGATAATTTTAATATTATTTACCCAAATCTCATTTAGCTTAAATTTATGTTTATCTAATAATTTTAGTCTTACTTATTTCTAATTCAATTTAAATTTATGGTTTGTAGGTTTTATTTAAAAAGATATTTAATATCTCTAAAAAACATATGAAAGTAAAAATGAGAAAACTAAAAGACATTTTATTTTTTTACTCCCCTCATTTTGATTAAATACCGATATAAAAAAGACATAAAAAATAGAAACATATAAAATCTAAAAAACATTTCTATTAATTCTCATTACCTTTTATCATTAAAAATGCGTAAAAAAGTGAAAACCAATTAAACTTTTTCTTTTCGCCTGCTAAACAAAAATCTAAAAAATGCATGTTCACATTTAATCGCTGTGTATCATTTTCTGTCAATTATTTCATTGTACTTGATTATTCTGTTTGCGTCAATCCAAAGGGAATTGTCTAATTTTTGTTGACTTCATGTCCTCAAAAACGATCGAGCGAATACTCTCATCCATTAAAAACTTAGGTTAATTTTCTTCAAATATTCACCTTTCCTCAAAATTTCAACCTTTTCAAGACTTATCCCTTTTAAGCCAAAACTTCGACATTAGGTCGTCGCATCTTCAAAAACCCGTCCGTATCCCTTTTTCGGCCAAAACGATTTATTTTCAATCAAGCGATCAATTTTAAATAAAACAGATATTTCAAAAGGTTCCTATAGAGTACTATAGATGCATTGGGTGCTAATACCTTCCCATTGTATAACCAACCCCCGAACCATAAGATCTCTTTTTTCAAAAACGCTTTGTATTTGTATTTTTATTTACATTGCATATTTAGGGTTTTATTTCGCTCTTTTCCCTTTTCCTTTGGAAACAATAAAGCGCGGTGGCGACTCTTGCTTTTGCGAGACGAATTAATCAATAATTCGATCTCCGATTTACCCCGCTACATTTTTTATCGCTACAGTATGATAGCACCACATATTTATGATTTAATGAAAACCCTTTATCATTTCCAGTACTTTCCTTTATCTTTCTGCCACATGCCATTTACAAGTTTTCTCATTTAAAGTCTTTTTATTCGAAATCTTTTCATTGAAGTCTTACATTTTAATGATTTCTTTACATTTCAAACACTTTACATTTCAGAAAACTGTCATACTTTTCATGCCTTTATCTTCAAGTTTTATCTTTCGGACGCCTATTTTTACTTAAAGTCATTTTACAGATTTCTTGCATTAAACGCTTTCTTCATATTTCGAATCTTTTACATTCCAGAGCATCTTTTACATTAACTGTTTTTATAATTCGAAGCCATTTACTTGTCTTTTATGCAATTTTATATGTCTTTACAATTAACATTTATTCATGCAATTTAGTTTCGCGCACATATATTTTGATTACACCTTTAGATCTTTAAGAGAGAAATCGAAATAAGTCAAACACCTACACAACACTCTAAATACCAACCATGAATATCTGTTCGATCATGAGAGTTACCCTAATGACCAATAAGTCCTAGGATCAATCTAGTCGATCATGCGAGTTACCAGAGAAATTGAATAACAGTCAGTAAGTTTATTCGATAGTTTGGAAGACTAGCGGTTGTTTACCAGAAATCACTGGAACAGTTACTCGACGCAATATTTCGTTTTCCGTGTAACTTTTATAAATAACACCCAAAGACTCATTTATAATTTTTACTAATTTATCCCTTGCCTCGAACGGATATGATCACTAATTCTTATTCTATATACAAATATAGATAATTAGAAAAATTAAAAAAAAACATTGATGAAAGTTTATATCAATTCTTTTGTAAAAACTGATTATAAATAAAAAAATATTTCTATATTTTAAATAATTTGTATCACAGACAAAAGTTATATTATAGTTTAGTGAGGGGCAAAAATTTAAATTTTTTCCAATTCTTAATCCTAATTTTTCTATCTCCCGTAAAAGTTTTAAATCAAAAGCACCTTTAGTGTGTAATAAAAAAATATCTTTTCATTTGTATAATTGAAATTATTAAAAGCTTATGTAACTTTTAGTGGTATTAGGCAAGCCCGTGAGGAATCCAATTCTATCGTCAAACTTGTATTTCTCAGATATTCGGATTATCAACGCGGTTGGTTACTAAGCACCACCGCCAACACAGAGAGAAATCCATGAACGAAGCAATGGCTACTTCACTTTCTCTCTCTTGTTGTTCTCCAACTCTCTCTCGTAGCACTCTCCTCTTCACCAAAACCTTTCCATTTTCTCGCTCCTTCTCCATCGCTCTCCCTCTCTCCACCAAATCCCTAATTTCTCTCTCGTTTCCCCGTCGCACCTTCGCCGTCCGCGCTGAATCCCCAAACGGCGTCGACCCCGCTCGCCAGTATGACTTCGACCTTTTCACCATCGGCGCCGGAAGCGGAGGCGTCCGCGCTTCCCGCCTTTCCTCCAATTTCGGCGCTTCTTCTGCTGTCTGCGAGCTCCCGTTCTCCACTATCTCCTCCGATACCACCGGAGGTGTGGGCGGCACGTAGGTTCCTGTTCATACTTAGGGTTTCTTATTATTGTAAACATCGAATTGGCTCATAACATGATATTATGGCTCTTTTTCTTTTTTATCGAAGCATAAGAACAAGCGAGCTTTGAACTCAACTGATAATAGTTTAACATGAACATGAGTTCTTAGCTTCTCCACTTACTAGTTTGATCCTTTTCACTCTAGTTAACAATTGTGCGTAGCAGAAGGATGTTGAATTGAATGTGGTAAGATTAGACATGATAAGACTGAAATGACAATATTAGAGAGTTTTGCGGAAGGCACTTAGAAAAAATGGTGAAGAGTAGACTTCGGTGGTGGTTTGGGCGTGATTTAAGCATTAGATTATGTGATAAGGAGATTAGATCAGATCAGATGGAGAAGAGTCAAATAGTTAGTGGTAGATGAAGACCTAGGAAAACTATAAGAGAAGTTGATAAAAAAAATCTCAAGATTAACAATTTTGATTAAAGCATGGTTGTGAATAGAATATTATGACGGAAGTTGATCTATGTAGTCGACCCTATTTAGTGGGATAAGGTTTGGTTGTTGGTGTTGGTTGCCTTTATGAAACCAGTTTTGTTGTTTGAACAACCAAATTTAAACAATTTCTTAGGTGGTTAATGTAGTTCAAATATGCGATTACTCAATGTAGATGGTTTATGGATACAAGAGGTGTCTAAATTCATTAACCAATATGATATAACTTCACTAATCACAATTTTGTACGTGATTAACCACTATTTTAGGTGCTGAAATCTATATGTAGTTGAACTCGGGAAAACAATTGTTAACCATCAAATTCAAATTTATGGTTAATGAAGTTTCAACATTTGATATATCTATTAACTATTTACTGAACATAACTAATCACTATTTAAACTATATTTGCCGCCTTAAAAGTTGTCTAAATTTGGTTGTACACAAAATTATTTCTCTTCTGAAACCATCTTAACACATATCTTTGTGCAGCTGTGTAATACGGGGATGTGTCCCTAAGAAATTGCTAGTCTATGCCTCAAAGTTCTCTCATGAATTTGAAGAAAGCAATGGTTTTGGATGGAGATATGACAGTGAACCTAAGCATGACTGGAGTAGTTTGATTGCTAATAAAAACGCCGAGTTGCAGCGGCTTACTGGTATCTATAAGAATATTTTGAAAAATGCCGGTGTCAAGTTGATTGAAGGCCGTGGAAAGGTGGGTTGATTCTTTGGACATTGGATCCATTTCCAAGTATTAGTTAGCTTTATAATTGAAAAATCATAGTTTTTGTGTGTGTGCTGATATTGCTTTTGTAATAATCTACAGATTGTAGATCCTCACACAGTTGATGTTGATGGGAAGTTATATTCAGCGAAACATATTTTAGTTTCAGTTGGAGGTCGACCCTTCATTCCTGATATTCCTGGAAAGGAATATGCAATAGATTCAGATGCTGCCCTTGATTTACCATCAAAGCCTCAGAAGATAGCCATTGTTGGTGGGGGTTACATTGCCTTGGAGTTTGCTGGTATCTTTAATGGTTTGAAAAGTGAAGTTCATGTATTTATACGACAAAAGAAGGTTTTGCGGGGATTTGATGAAGAGGTAAGCAATTGTGGACAATACATATTATTGAATTGTTACTCCGTATTAACCGTTAACTCTTCCTTTACATTCAAATTGCGAACTATGTCTGCAGATTAGAGATTTTGTTGCAGAAAATATGGCACTGAGAGGTATTGAATTTCATACTGAGGAGTCTCCTGTAGCTATCACTAAGGCAGCTGATGGTTCACTCTCTTTAAAGACCAACAAAGGTACCGAGGAAGGTTTCTCTCATATTATGTTTGCCACAGGACGCAAACCTAATACTAAGGTAAAAGTTTTGATTATGTATTTTTGTTATTTTCTTGTGATTGGCTGTTTGAAAACTAATAAGTACCAACAAATAATATTTTTGGAATAGAAAATAATTTAGAGGGCAGATGTTTATTTGTGCCTAGCAATAGTTACCTTCATTCAAAAAAGTTATTGAAAAGGGCATGATAAAGAAAACATATTTATCAAATAAAAATAGTTTAAGCTTACTGTTATTTGTTCACTTAAATGTCAATATTGGTCCACATCTAGAACTTAAAATTTTCGACCTCTTTTTAGACATTACACATTCAGTTCTTTGCTTAATCTTACATGAATAATTATGTGCTGATGCTGAAAGCTAATTTCCATATTCATCAAATATTAGGGACGTCTGGACTCTAGTGTGATTGCAAGCTCTTGAAGTTTTTTTTTTGGAGTTATGTTTTGCCTTTGTAATTGTCTTTTTACCTTATACATGTACCGGAAAGAGATAATAACACAGAGGATTCATTTATGAACTATAATTTCACTGCAGGATTTAGGCCTGGAGTCTGTTGGTGTGAAATTGGCTAAAGATGGATCAATAGAGGTGGTGAAAGCTTATCATTGGCTTGTATATGATAAATATTGGTATGGTCATTTATTGTTATTTGTATTTTTGTCCAGGTTGATGAATACTCTCAAACATCGGTTCCTTCTATTTGGGCAATTGGAGATGCTACAAATAGAGTAAATCTCACTCCAGTTGCTTTGATGGAGGGAGTGGCATTAGCAAAGACATTGTTTCAGAATGAGCCTACAAAACCTGATTATAGGTAATATACATAGTGCATCATGCTAATTTGCTTAACTAGAGTGAATTTAGTGACCAGTGTGTGGCTGGCAATTTTATAAATTAAATGGCTTATTGGACATTATCATAAATCCAATTGTTTAACAATTTATAACCATCATGCTGATCTTTCTCAGCAAACATTGAGTACAGTATTTTGTTTACTTTTTTATTTGTTTGAACTTTGAAAAGTATTATGTTTATCAATCTTTTTTTTTTTTTTCGTTTATCAATCTTAGATGATTAACAAATTGACAACGGGTTTCTAATATGAGTTTGTATGGCAAAGTTTATTACACCGTTGTTTCTTAAATGGTCAAGAAGACTGTTAAATCCTTAAATATTTGTGTAGAAATTTGAAGAGAGCTTGGTAGTTTAAAAGATTTGAAAAAAAGGGAAAGACTAGATGGTTTTTAACGAGGTTTGATATTTTTGGTTTTTAATATGTGCAACTGTGTGATCAAGCTTTTTGGTGGTGGTTGTTGTAGTTGCTGCTAAGTGCTAAATATGCAAATTTTGTTTATTTTGCTAGTCACATCTGTGCATAAATTTATGAACAAAAATTTCCTTTTTGCCTTTTCATTTTAACAAACTTAATCACTCACATTGCTAATCCTGCTTGTAATGTTGAATAGTAGCATATAGGCTGGCCTGTTTTTGTATTTCATAGCCTCCTAACAGATTGTGTTACATTCATCTTTTCTAGAGCTATTCCTTCTGCTGTGTTTTCCCAACCACCAATTGGAGGAGTTGGTCTTACAGAGGATCAGGTGAATGACTTATGGCACGCTGAATCCATTGAGATCAACGATCTTCTGAATACTATAATAAATTATGCAGATTATGCTTTTACTGACATTTTGTTTATTTGGACAGGCTGCAGAACAATATGGGGATATTGACGTCTACACAGCAAATTTTAGGCCGTTGAAGGCCACCCTCTCTGGGCTTCCAGACCGGGTTTTTATGAAACTAATAGTCTCTGCAAAAACAAATGTAGTTCTTGGATTACACATGTGTGGAGAAGATGCTGCTGAAATTGCGCAGGTTTTTGTTGTTGCGCAGCTGTTTCCTTATGTTGCTCTGATAATGATACATGAGTTTAAATTCACTTATTTGTAAAATTGCTTGTTACGCAGGGGTTTGCAGTTGCTATTAAAGCTGGATTGACAAAGGCGGACTTTGATGTCACAGTAGGCATTCATCCAACTGCAGCTGAGGAATTTGTTACCATGAGGACTCCCACTAGGAAGATTCGAAAGAACCAAGCTTCACAGGTAAATCAAGGTCTCAGCCCATGTCTTCCATTAATATCTTGTGCTGAAATTGTCCTGCATTCTATTCAACAATTTTTTGATAATTCATTAACCTTTGATGTTACTCCGTAATTGGGAATTGGAAGACTTCAGATTTCTTAAAAACCAAACACAGGTTCCCTATGCACACCATGATTGCTTGGCTCTGTTGATCAAATCAGTAGCCTGCTCACCTCTATTATCTCACGGGGAAGTCTAGTAATATGACACTTGATTCATTTGGGATGAAACACCATTTCATAATTCACAGGGAAATGCTATACGGTACAAAAACTGTTGCATAAAAGATAGCATGGACAACATTATTTGCTAGTAGTATTTCTCTTTTCATTTCTAACCACCTTTGTATGGTTATCAAAGCATCCTATTGGTCAAATTGCTTTTGTCCCAAACATTTTCGCAACAAATAATAGACCCTTATGTATATGTTTGAACTTATTCTCGTTACTATTTTTGTGAATCTGTTTAGTAAACACTGTATTTGTAATGTTTGTTTGGTTTCAATATAATCTAGGGTAAGTCAGATTCTGAAGCAAAAGCTGTGGCTGGATCTTAAGAATATTAATCTGCTTCAATTATTATACCCAAAGAAACTTTCTGAGGTCTTAAGGTAAGAATGAACTACTATTTTTTGAGAAATAGTACATTTTTTGCTTAGAGATGCTGCATTTTATTTTGTTGTAATTATGGATTTCTATATGATATATGACAGTAGAATAGAGACTAGGTTTAAGTGCTCTTTGGGCTCTTCTGTATTATGACCATCTTGTGATATTGGACATCCAATAACTTTTTTGCTAGAATTTAGTTCCTCGATTTTCCAATTGCTACAACTATGGCTTTTGGATTTTCATCAAATTTCTACTACATCCGTCCCAAATTATAAGATGCTCTATTATTTATTTCTCCTTCTTTCAATTCTCTTAATTTCTCTTTCCTGAAGGACAATAGTGTAAAGTCATACATAATTTCTCTTTCCCATACAATAATGATTATTTTTCTTAATACATGTGAAATGTCCAAAACGTTTTATAGTTTGGGACGGAGGGAGTATTACCTAAAAAAATTCAATTTTTAAATTTTTCTCTCGACCTAACATGGCTGGAATATATGTTTTTTAGGAGCTGTAGTCCTTACCAATGCAACATGTTTCTAATATAGAATTAATGATCAATTGGACAGTTGATAAATGATGTATAATTTTAGTAACTAACAGACTCGTTTCCTTTTTAATACTGTTTATGCAGGCAGGTTATTGAGTTTTCGATTAATCTCTGGCAAGCCGAGCTTTCAAGACAATTCATGAATAGCCTGCAGAGCTCATCTGGAAATGGGGAGCAATGGAATTTTGCGAGCTACCATGTGCAATTTGTAATATATTTTTCACCTTTTTTACCAATTTATTTTTCACCCTAACCTTGTCCATTTGTACATATTAAGAGGAAATTTCGCGAGGTACTTTGATGTTAAATAAAATAATCTATCTTATGTAATTTGAAGAAGTTGGAATTGAGACAAAGAGCATGGTTATAAATATAGCTAGATTTAAGTAGAATATTAACTTTTCAAATCTTTGGCATGGGAAGCTTGATTAATAAATCCTGCACAAAATGGAACGTGGTAGATTGATTCGTACAATGTGTATTGAAAAGTGTAATTTGTCTTGCTCAACTGTGAGTTCTCAGAAGTAAAACCAGAAAATCACCAAGACTGTTTGGGTTGTATTCCAAATCTTCTAAACACATCATCTCTTGAAACGAATTTGGCCCTAAGCCATATCAGTACACCTCAGTGAATCCAAAATAGAGCCTAATCTTACAGGACGGGAGGAATTATACACTACAAATGAGTTTCTTCAGCTTCTAGACTATTCGTTTTTTTGGGCTATTTCCTCAGAGTTTAACATGGTGAAAGCTGGGAATGATGGCAAGCACATCGGAAGAAGAATTTAGTCCTCTAAGCCTATATTTGGATTTTGAAGAAATTGTGGTGATACTGATACCACACTGCTGCCCAGAAGCTTGTATGTTTAACTTCATGAATATTAGAATGAAGGACTAAATTTTCTAGAAATCGACTCATTACGCTAATCACATATGTTAAGTTTGATCTATTACAAATCATGTCATACATGATGCTTCCTGCCCCACTAATATATGAGAAAATGTCAATCTTCCTCTCATATTTTTCAAATTGAGGAGCTTGTCTAACTAAAAGCTTCATGTGATTCAAAAGAGTGCTAAACGGCTTAGCTTCATGCCTCTTAAACTACTTTACCACTTTCTTCTACTAAAATGAGATAATAACATTTCACCCCTATTTTTTATTTTCGCAGTATCCATTCTAAGTATCAATAAATTTGTAATTTATTTGAATATTATTATTAATTTCACACACTTATATGCACAAAGTAACACCTAAATCCTATGATTTATACATATTGAATTGATCAAAGTTATCATCATTAGAATACGATATGTATGATATGTATGCTAAATAGAAATCAAAGGAGAAAAAGATCAAAATGGAATGCAAGATGGATCAAGGAAGCAAAGCTTGAAATGCATAGGAGGCAAAGCTTCAGAACATTTCGCTAGGTGAGTATGGCTCAATCAACTAAAACAAGGTAGAAGTAACCTATTGCAAAACGGAGAAAATTTGATGAGTGAGCCGCAACTTGGTCAGATAATGAAAAGCGGTTCAAAGTAGGATTAAAGATTTATTTGGTGCAAAGCAATCTCTATTCGGTGCACAAGCCACTACTCGGTCTGTAAAATAGAGACATATCATAATTCTATTTAAAGGAGCTTTGATTGTCATTTGAAGCACAACCTTGTAAGTTTTCTTAGTTTGTTATAGATATACCAGAAAGAGACTTGAGAGGCTTGAGCGCTGAAGGTAGGTAGATGCGGATATCTGTAAAGGATTGAGAGATCTTCGATGTCGTTCTACTTCTACTCCTTATGTACCTCTACAGTTACTACATGACTAGCTAAGTTCTCTATTATTGAGATTAGATTTGTATTTTATTATCCCGGTGTTAGAACATAATTTGGTTCTATATCTCAATAAGAGTTTTGATGATAACAAACACATGATATAAAGAACAAATATGTTCGCTAATAAAAGTATCGTTTCATGCAGGAAGTTCTGATGTGAAAAAGATGTTCTAATACAACTGGAAGTTCTGCCAGAACATCACCAGAAGTTCTGATTATGCGAGCACAGAAGTTGAAAGGACAATGAAAGATTCAGACGCATCAAATATGCATGACACGCTTATATGAAGAAGTTCTGATTGAACTTCTGAATGCACCAACACTGCGAAACATAATCTCTGATACTCTGATGTGCAAAATTCTGATCAAGCTGTAAAGAACTCTCAATGGTAATATTCATCCTCTGATGTGAGAAGCTCTGAAGCATTACAACTCCATCAATGCAAGATCATAAGTAACGGCTACAAACAGACAAGGATCTCCTGATTTGAAAAGCTCACCAACTCGTGTTATGGACTTACCAAAAGTATCTTCTTATGTCTCTATTGCAAGGCCTATATAAAGCAGACTAAAAGAAGATTTCACGATGATGAACAACTGCGCTCATAAAGAAAAACTCACGTGAAAAAGTAAACAACGCAGCTTTCATTCTTCATCTTCAACGATTCAATATTAAACTGTGTAATACATCACAAGTTTGTGATACTGTTTATTTAGAAACATCATTGTACACCTTTATTTAATTAACTGTTTAGTGAAATTCCTTGAGAAATCCGGGTTGTAATTTTGGACTAAAGAAGACTTTAACAGTTGTTAAAGTAGAATTGTAATCAGTTTGATTAGTGAATTAAGTCCTCGTTGGAGAGAGGCGAAATCACCTTGGCGGGTGGACTGGAGTAGTTTGAGATCAAACGAACCATGATAAAAATATTGTGTCTACTGCGCTTTTGATTTTAAGTTTCAATTTAACCCCCCTTCTTGTGTTTTTCACTTCTTCAATTGGTATCAGAGCACCTAGATCTGGGTGCAAACACTTAACCGTGTCAGATAAAGATCCAAGGGGGAAAATACTATGATGGGAACAAGTCAGAACATCAGCAGCAACCCTCCAATATTTGACAGTGAAAATTTTGACTATTGGAAGGATATGATCATAAGTTTCTTCCTAGCCTATGACACTGACCTCTGGGATGTGGTAACTGATGAATACATACATCTTGTTGATGAAAGCGGTCAGAAGATTGACAAAAAAAAGATGACAGACCATCAAAAGTAAGACTTCAGAAATCATCACAAGGCCAGAACGATTCTCTTGAGTGCCATCTCATATTCAGAGTATGAGAAGATCACAAATAGAGAAACAGCTAAGAACATGTTTGATTCTCTGAGAATGACGCATGAAGGCAACTTGCAAGTAAAAGAAACCAAAGCCCTTGCGCTCATTCAGAAATATGAAGCCTTCAGAATGGAAGGAGACGAAACCATTGAAACAATGTTCTCTATATTCCAAACTCTGGTGGCATGGCTAAAGGTGCTGGACAAAGGGTACTCAACTGTTAATCATGTAAAGAAGATCATCAGAAGTTTACCAAAACAATGGAGACCAATGGTCACGACTCTCAAATTGGTAAAAGATCTGAACATAATATCTCTAGAAGAACTCGTCAGCTCCCTCATAAGCCATGAGATAGAGTTAGAAGATGATGAGCCTCAAAAGCAATGTAAGTCTCTCGCTCTGAAATCTAACAAATATGAAACCAAAATTTTGCAGGCAGAAGCAGAAAACTCTGGAGAATCCTCGTCAGAAGAAGACGAACTATTTTTTCTATCCAGAAGAATCAATCAGCTGTGGAAGCACAGACAGAAGAATTTCAGAAATTCTAGAAGAACAGGAAATGACTCTGAACAATCTTCTGGACACCGAAAATCAAGTAACAGAATCATTACCTGCAATGAATGCAATAAACAAGGTCACTACAAAAGTGATTGTCCAAGGTTTCAGAAGAAGAAACATAAAAGGAAGATCGTTAAGGAGAAGAAGAAAAGTCTTATGGCAACATGGGATGACTCCGAATCTTCTGAAGACAGAACAAAATCAGAAGATGAACAAGCCAATATAGCTCAAACAGACAACTTATTAGATGTCTCTGAATCTTCTGAATCAGAATCAGGGTCAGAATCAGAATCAGACGCTAAAGAGGTATTTTCTGACTTTACTGTTAATTTTTCTAAAGCTGAACTAGCAGAAAGTCTGAGTGAGATTTTGGAAAGGTATCAACAACTTAGAGTCAAATTCAAGAACCTGAAAAACGATCTTGTCTCTAACTCTGAAGAAACTGAGAGTCTTAGATTAGAAAATTCTGAGTTAAAAGAAAAGATTTCAAAACTAGAAAATGATTTACAAAATTCTCAGAAGGAAATAATCTCATAGGCTCTCAGTAATGCTGATAAGATCATAAAGGAATATGATCTTAGCTTTCAGAAGTTCCTTGATAAAAACATATTCAATGATCTATGGAGTTAGTAGAAACGGCAGAATAGGTATAGGATACAAAGG